TTATCTAGTTGGAGAAGTCCCTGCTTACCGCAGGAGGGTTGAACTAGATGACCTCTAAAGGTCCCTTCCAACCCGAATGATTCTATGATTCTATGAATTTAACTAACTAGATTTATGATGTTTTAGCAACAGAAGAGGAAAGAAGATCAAAAATCTTGACTTCCTCCCACAATTCCAGTGAGATATGGGCTGGACTGTTTCCTTCAACAAAGAGGAAGAGAATGGATTTAGAAATGTTAGAGGAAGAAGCCAATGAACTGCTTTCCTACTTCAATCATTGTAATATTGACGCCCTTTTGAAAGTCACTCGAAACACTCTGGAGATCATACGCAAGCGCATCCATGCATCTTCCACGGTCAACTTCTTAGGTGGCCATATTGCAGTACTTTGCTTTCTTAGTCTATAAAAAGAAGTATGTAAATATAATATCCCTGAACTATATAAAAAAGAGCCACGTATGTAAAAGAGGGGAAAACAAAGGGAGTTTGGATAAGCTGTCTTGTTAAATCACAATTGATAACACAGTATATTTCCAAAGGAATTTTTTTTCCTGTGACAGTAGGAATGTGTCATTGCAATGTTCTTTCTCTTAAGACTGACTGTACTGTTCTGAAGCTGGATACTATATTTGGAGCTAGACTTGATAAGTGGTTACTTGTTTGACCTTGGCTTTTGCATAAAACTGTATTAAAAAAAGTAAAATAGAGAGATGTGTTATCTTTCTTTTACTAATTGATTTTGTATTATATTATTATATATAATATATATTATTATATATTTACTAATGGCTCCACGTTATGATGGAACACTCTTTTGAACTGTGTTTTTGTTATATACTTTTAAGAAACAAAAATAAAGGCATTTGTATTTGGTCTCTATAGCATATAAGGCATACAATATTATGAGATTCTAAGTAGTTTTTGTGCCCAATTTAATATGCTGACTGGCAATACAAGCCAGACAACAAAATTTTCTGCTAAACAGAGTTTAGCTGCACAGAACAAATGGAAGAGAAGCTTCATAGCATGGCACTTAGTTCTCGCTTGTGCTCCTATAGACTTTACCAATACGTCTTGTAAATTACTCAGGAATCTTTTTTTTTTTTCATTAAGAAATTACAGTCAATACTCAACAGTAGGATATTTATATATTGGTTTATATCATTACAATGCCTATTTTGCTGTCTTGAAAAAAATGTGAACAACCTTTTTTTTTGTGTCTTTCATTTAGAAAATCACAATGCTTCTAAGCAGAAAAGAAGTACTCATCCTATAATTAGGAGTAGTATTAACCTATCTATTCCTAATATCATCATGACACCCTCTTTGGATGAGGTACAGCAGACACTTAATAAAGCTGTAGATAGTATTGTGAAAGTAACGAAAGGAGTTGGACAGTGGAGTAAGGAGAGAATATCCAAGGTTTGTGTTTTTAACAGCCTTACTTAAAACTGATGTTTCCAAACTACTGCGAATAAAAAATGAAATTTTATTTCTTCCCCAGAAGAAAATGTTAGAGAGAAAAGTGGCTGTGTTGCGATGTGAGAGCAGAGACAGCGATTCTGATGATGGAATGAGAGAGACTGGAAAGAAAAACATCCATGGTAATGATAAACTGACATCACTCAATTTGAATGTTAGGTAAATGTGATTTATACAGAATGTGTTAAAAGATATTAAATACAAAATGCATCAAAAGTGGTAGAACGAAGACTTAATGGATTTTAAACTGTGTCAGAGAAGAAATAGTATATGATAACAATGCCATAGCTTTTCTTTGTGATTAGAAACCAGGCTTGACTGAAGATACTTGTCTTTATGTGGATTTGAGTAAGGGGATTGTTTGTACCTCTCAGAGAGCTGTCCTACTTTGCATTCTACCTGCAGCATGTGAAAAGCTGTTAGGATACCAGCTTGGGCAGCACAGTAGAAATTGCGAATGAGTTTGGAAAACAATTATAGTCACTATTGCTACACAAAAGACCTTTCATGATTTGCCAGTGTGGTTTGTAATTTGACATGTTCAAATGGCATCTTAAAACTTGTGCTGAACTTTCTTTTAGGAAGGGTAAGTTGAACTTAAACAAAACCTGATATTGAATAGAAATATCTATATAAATGGCAGTATTGGTGGAGAGAGAATTGTGTAGAGGATTGAATAGACTAAAATTACTAAAAGAGTTTTAACTTAATCTGTTTTGTGATCAGACATGGAATTAAGTTATTGAAGGCATTAATTCAAGGAAATTTAAGATGATATCTTTGGTTGCTAGGTTTTTCTTGTCTGAAATGGTTTAGAATCAAGTCAGATAAATTGTTCTACTTTGTACTTCAGGTGCTTCAAAAATATACTGAGTCTTTTTACATTAGCTCCCTCTTATACACCTAAAAAAAGTAGAAAAGTAGTACTTGAACTGGTTAAGAAATGAAATTATTCTTTCAAAACTAAGAATTTCTCTTGCCTGAGGTGAAATAAGAAATGATGGTAAGTTCAGTCTTGTGGATATTTGCTAACTAATGGATCTTCCTTTTGTTTTTCTTTCATTTTGAGGACTGACTATGATCACCCTCTCAGATCTAATGTTAATTTGTATTTCAAATTGTCAGTTGTGGTCTACCGCACATTATTTCAGAAAATAAAAATATTTATGGATTTGATCAATGCTGACATATCAGGAAATCTGTTAGGTGAAGTATACAGGATAAACCTTGGGGAGGGGTGAGAGAAAAGGAATGATTATATTTGAAAGATTGGAGTGGAACTTATTCCAAATTTGACAGAGTACCTAGATGAAGCAATTTTCCTAAAATTGAGAGGTTTATGAATTTGTGGCAATTATATTGGCCACGTAAACTTCTAGTTACCTTTTTGATTAATAAGAACACTTAACTGTAAGATGCATGCTTATTGAAAAATAGGTCATTAGTTTTTGTCTATAGGAATTTGTTTGGCCTAAACGATATGTCTGTCCTAAAACTGCTTTTGTATTTGAATCTACTTTTATAGATAGTGTGTCAGATGCAGCATCGCTCAGTTTGTCTGATCCAGTGCAAAGCCAGAACTACTTCAAGAGTGTTTCAGAAAACAAAGAAATTATTAAATTAGTATCTTTACTCAGCACTGCTATCAATTCTACGAAAAGGGTAAGACAATCGAGATGTTGATTTAATATCACTATCCAAGAGATATTAATGTCTTAGTTTTAATATCCTTGGGCAATAAGGGTAGGCATTTAAAGCAGTGATTAAACATATGAATGAAAAAGTGTAGGATGGTGGATGGAAAACATGTGGCTGCAAATTTGCAAATATGCATTGAATGTGTGACATGGGTTAAGTGCAGTCTGTTAAAAATTTTGAGGTTTTGAATATTACATAAAGTAAAACTTAGGTCTGATTTAAAACATATCTCCAATTGGTAAAACATCATAAAAAACCCTCTAGGTATAGATGAGTTGTGTATATTTAGTATAGAACTGGTAGTATTTGTACAAGTGTATTAAATACAGTTTTATTCACGTAGAAATTCTAATGAAGCCAGCATGACTTCTGGCACACTATGAAGAGTTTATGAAGGTTTTTGAAGAAAACTGGCTGTCAGCTTGGCATTTGTGAAGTGCTGCATAGGATTTACTGCTGGAGATTAGAAGATAGTTTAAGGGATATGCATAATTTCTTTGCCCTTTTCTTACTCTGTGCACTGTCTAGTAAACTATAGGTACTGAAGTGGTATTTCTTTGGGGAACTCTGCATCAGTTCCTTCTGGGGCCAGTTCAACCTTACAATCCTTGCCAGGTGGAAATTTTTGACTCAAAGTCTTGTAACTTCAGTGGTACTAAAGCATAACTAGCACAATGACATACAGGCTCGTGCTGAAGGCTGAGGTGCGGTTGATAATGGTGGATAGTTATCCTGGTATTTTGATACTCAATGTTTTTTCATTGGAAACTGCAAGCACTATGTTTATCTCATAAGTCTTGATGTGGATTATCTCTTGTAGCAGTCACGTCTCATTTACTTGTTTAATTAACTGAAGTGATGATGATTTAACTTTGACATTTTCCAGAACTCCTGAGAACCAGAAATAATTCTGTTGCACACTCCTTAAATGATACTCAAATCAAAGATATCTGATTTGTGTGTAGAATTTAATGTTAACATCGCCAATGTCATACATGTAAAAAAATTTGTCTCATAACTTCGTTATTTGAGAATGAATTGAGATACTGCTGTTCTTGTTATGTTGGGCCCTCGAGCTTAGATTTCAGTTGCTAGTCCGATAAGCGGTAGGGAAGGACAAATGTACTGTGTCCTAGTCTTAAAGGAGTATTTTACTTCGCACTGATTCCTAGGAGTTTATTGACTGAAGAATCACTTCATTGGAAAATACTGCAGCTGATTTGACAAATTGAATATGATTAGCATATAGTTCCTGGCAAGGCTTGTGATTGCTAATGGAACTTGCTTTAGCATAAATTTGCCAGCATCCTTCTGTTTAGTGAGGTGATGCAACCTGCTCCACTATGGAGTTCTTAATGTCTTCTAACGAGCAGATGCTGAGAAGTTATATGTATGCTATACATTTAACGTTGAGAATCTTTCTTTGAACTTCTAATGTGTTTCAGGAAGTTCTTACAGCTTTGGAGAGTTTTAGTTGTTACCACCATATATGGCAGATGGACAAGGAGGAAACCATTGACAAATTAATGACGGGAAACCCATTACTGTCTGAATTTGAATCTGAAATCCTGCATTTCCAAGACTTGGAGATGAAAATCAATTCTGAGCCTGAATACATCTGTGTGGGAGCTATTGCACTATACACTGGTAGAGTTCAGCTTTCCAATTCTCTCTAGAGACATATACTTTCTGTCTCCTGTGGGGAGGAGAGATGGTGCTTAGTTTTGGATGGGTGAACTACATTAAAGATGGAAAAGAGAAAGAGAGAATGGCTCTTTTCTGTTTTGGCTGTAAGTGCATGCAAACAAAACACTAACACAAGGGTATCTGTGAAGCTTAGCTGGAGTTTCTTCCCCCTCCTCGATACTTCTGCTCACTTATGAGGTGGATAGTAGGTGTTTGCCTATCCTTCTGTCACTGACCCCCATAGGGACATATTTTATGGGAGTAAGATGATAGGTTTATGTTGCTTTTCTCCTTGCCTGACTGCAGGTAACGAGACAGCTGAAAAACTTTCTGTTTAACACAGTTAAATGAAACATGCATGTTGTTGCTGATTCCCCTTTTTGCCATGAAAGCCAGGCCTCAAATCTTTACTTTTTTTGTAGCTCAGGTTCCTCATCACCTAACTAAATTTGCGTAAGCATTTTACACCAATATAACAGAAAGGACAGTTGGGAACAATGATGGACTCTAAGAAAAGCATGTAACTGATTTTGCTGTGGATGTCAAATCTGAGGAAGCAGAATGTTTTCTTCATTAGGAAAGAGCGTCAACCAAATGTCTTTGATTGTATAGTAACACAAAGAACTAGAGAAACAAGCTGGCTGTTGAAACTCAGTGGGGGTGAGGTGGTTCTGATATTTAATAAATCAAAAAGACCATCAGGTGTGAGAACTAAGCATGGAAAGAGGCACTGTGTAAAAAAGAAGACAGAAGTGAAATCTGCATAGGGAATGAATAGGTAATAGGGCTGAAGTAACATCCAGCTAAAATTTTGTAATACTTGTGTTGGTATTGATTTTTGACTCTTCTGTTGACAACTGTGAGGAAGAAATTTTAATTTAATGGCAGAGCTTTAGAGAAATGGACTGGATTGTTGCAAAACTGGACAGCAACTCAGCAAGACTTCAATTTTTTCTCTAAATGTTTGTTACTTGGTTCCACTGATGCTACATATAAAACTTATAAAAATTAAATGGTTGATGGACCATTTAGTCCCATTAAATGTCAGCTTGAACTTTGTTTCTTCAGCTTCCATAATCAGACTCTTACTTTCCCCCCCCACATTATTTTTTTTTAAAGATTAATTTTTGAAAAGAGTTTAGACTTAGATGAGAATATTAACTAATTTGTTAGTGATGTATAGGACAGATATTTGTATAATGGTATATAAACAAGATGACCAGTGTGGAGTCCAGCCTTATCTTTCCAGTAGGGAAGATGTTATATTCTGAGAAGATTAAGAGGAAAGCAATTCTGAATTGCAAGCAATCCTATAAACTACTCAGAGGTGTCAAGTGTGATTTCATCTTCTCTGTACATGGATGGTTAGACTGAAAAGCCAGAACTGGTAGCAAAGAGAACACATACTGAAACAATATTAAAAGTACATCTTAATAAAATATCTACAACATCTAAATATCTATTCATTGTTCAATGTTTTTAGCTGATCTGAAGCTAGCACTAAGAGCAGAAACCAAAGCCTGGATGAGTTTGCTGGGGTGTCATTGTAACAAGAAGTACCGAACAGAGATGGAAGTAATTTTCACTTTTATAGAGGAAACCAGCAAGAAGTTAAATCGCTGCATCAAGGATCTGGATGATGTAAGAATAGCCATGTCAGCTTTAAAAGAGATTAGAGAACTACAGATCTCCATAGACTCTCAAGTTGGGCCCATTGA